ATATCGGATCCTTGGTCAAATGGCTGTCCACACACTCTTAAAGAGCATGGAGAAATTCTACTGTGTGGCGCACAGGGGCTCAGTCAGTCCGTTGTGTGTGGCTGACCTTAATATCAGAGTCCAGGTTCTCCCCTCCTTCTGAAAGCCACGACTGCTGCAGAGGGCGGAATTCAGCAGTGCCCTGAGGACGTGCTTCTTCCTGAGCTCTGGGCTTCTTTCTACCTGGGTGGCTTTCTCTGAAGCTTAGGCTCTTCATCTGTCTGTCTGTAGAAGTAATCACAGAACCTGACTGACCGCACATCAGGAAGACACGTGAATTCACTGCTAATCTTACACAGCAACTTCTAAGGCCAAGCACATAAAAGTTGGGTGATCTGAGCAATTAAAATCCAGTTCACTGGTTATTTGCTGGAGTTGGGGACTAGACCCCTGTCCTTTCCTAAATGTCTGCTCTGATGATCACAGCAGACATTAATTTTTAAAAAAAAAATCTAGTTTTAGGATAAGGTAGTAGATTATACCAGATAAATAGCTGGAAATAAATTAATATAGCAGATGTAGAGAAAGATGTTTAATAACAGGTCATGTGAAGTAAATCTCCACGTTAAATCAAAGCAGCAGGTTCTAACTGCATTAGTACATCCTTTTTGAAAGACTTTAAACACTATTATAGATTAGTAAATGTGACAGATTCTGGAAAGGTATTCTACCTGGAAGATTTTATTTACCACAATAGGAAATTGCAGCCAGGCACAGGTGGCTCATGCCTGTATTCCTAGCTACTTAGAAGGCTGAGATCTGACAATCTCTGTTCAAAGCCAGCCCAGGCAGGAACGTCTGCAAGACTCTGATCACCAATTTATCACTAGAAAACTAGATGTGGTGATGTGGATCAAGTGATAGAACTTTCACCTTGAGCTGAAGAGCTCAAGGACAGCGCCCAGGCCCAGAATTCGAGGCCCACGACTGAAAAAAAATAAAAAGAAATTGCATAACTTTTCATTGAAATAGATGTCTAAACAATCTACCTTATTGGCATACCAAGTCATGAATTAAATGAAACACAAGTGACTTACAAAAGCCAGAGAAATGTAAAAGATAAATTAGGAAAGACTTCAGAGAAATAGCCCTCCTGTGGACCCGTGTTCAACTTTGAAACAGGACCATGAAAGAAGAGGAAGGAGTGATGTCAAAGAATCAGTTGACAATACGACCCTTCCCCAGGCTGGACCTTTATTTTGTGCCCTGGACTCTATTCCTGGGCTCCAGTAAGTGGTTATGTTTGTTTGTAAGCAGTGTTGTTGCTTTATAAAAGTCAGAAATATAAAATGTCACTGTATGAGTGACTACTACAGTTTAATTACAGAAGTCTTGATGTGAAGGAAGAAGGCAATCATAATAGAAAAAAATACTTAATTGACCTAGCGTTAGACTAAATCAAGGGAGCATTTTATACATGGAAATAATAATAATAATGAGGAGGAAGAGGCGGAGGAGGAAGAGGAGGAAGTGGAGGAGGAGGAGAAAAGATTTTTTCTAAGTGTGATTACTAGCTTAGGGAAGGTTTTGGTGAGGTTAAACACTACCTAGGAATAGGGTTAAAGACATCAGTGTTTTTCTTTCTTTCTTAATCATTGAATAGGTTTCCTTATTTAGTAAAAACTGCAATATCACCTTTTCATTTTAAAGACATTGCTGTAATTACCTTTCTAACACCCACCATCTCTCAGTCCCTCTCAAACTCATCAATAAGATGCAGTGGTGAGACAAAGGACAACAGGTAAACCGATGTAGCAGTGGTACTCACAGACACTAGGTTTGGAACTTACAACTGGGTGGAGAGGGGGATGGGGGGAGGGAGGAAAGTGGGAGAAAACGAGGGAAGGGTAACCTGATGGAAAAGAAATGTATTCACTACCTTAGTTACATACCTGCAACCAGTCTGTATATCACCTTTACCATAAAATTAAAAAAAAATAGTCTGCCTTATTACCCTCATCTAAAAAGCAGTCAGCAGAGTCTTTAAAACTTTTTTATGGAGTCTGGCGTTTATAGTGATCGGAATCTCCATAACGGTTGAGTGTGTTCTAACAGCACAGTAGCCCATTGAATGAAGCATTGCTGAAAAACGCATGTTAAATTCGAGAGGCCCCTGGGTTTTCTTTGGCTGTCTTCCTTAGGAAAACCTGGTTATGACTCTTACGACAGTCCACACTCCCAATGCCTTTCATGCCAGCGCCACATAGCAAAGAACTGCAAACTGCTTGCTGCTGAGCCCTGTGCTGAGCATTGTGGTTTTAAGGACACAGACAGTCCACACATGAGTGAAGGTTCCGTCCCAATATTGTTGGTCTATGCGACAAGTTTTAATGGAGAAAAGGTTACATTTGCATATTCCCCAGATCCATTAACATTTCTGAAGGCAAACCCAATAAGAAACCAGAGTTATGAGCTCAGCTTGCTTGGGAAATTCCACGTGTTTCTTATTTCTCATTGTTGTCTTTCCATCAAGTTAGGATCTGACATTTCTAGCAGGCCTGTACTGTGTGCCGGCCATATCTGTTATTGCTGGCCACCGTTACCTCAGTGTGCATCCACGCAGCAAACGCCTCTGTGGCCAGCCAATGTGAGGTCCATCACAAGTCAGGCAGGAGTGATCAGGTCCAGCAAGGCACTAGCGGCCATCTTGGTCTCTGTCCTAAGACAGTGGAATCCACTGAGGCTTTGAGCAGGGGTGCGGTTCCTCTTGGAACCGTGTGGGGAAAGCAGTAAGGTGAGAGAGCCTGGGGACCAGTCATTGGAGTGCAGATGAGGTTGTAGGTCTATGAAGGCAGCAGTGGGGATGGAGGGGGCAGGGCTTTGCAGAGGAAAAGGTAACTGGAAACAGCCACTCTCTTGACTGGTCATTGCGATGCTTGGCTGACATCTGGACTCAGGATTCTTTGGAATGTCCATCTGTCGTACATGAGTTTGGTGTCTATGTGTGATCATACATATGTACAAAGGGTCCTTAAACTCTTGTTCAAAAGATGCTCTTGGTCTTCGCCCTATGTCATTACCTGACTGGTCAATAAAATAGTCAGAAGTGAGTTCTGTCCTAATTGCGTTCCAGAAACATAAGCTTACCCACATTTCTCATAGCCATTCAGTGTCATTGTGTGGAACCTTCAAGTTTAATTTATAGATATCTGTAGATTATGATTTACTTTGTTGAAAGAAAAGAATTCTAGAGGTTGCTACTCTGAGAAGAACTATACTACCTCTGTGTTGCTGAGGTTTGAAATCATGTAACCAAAGGAAATTAAATTACAAGGAAGACCTGCTTGTTACTTTTTTATTGTTTAATTGGTTCCTACTGAGATTACATAGGCAAGAAGGATTCCATATCAGCAGTCACTTAGCTATGTTTCGAGCAAGTGTGTTATTGCTCTATACGTCTTTTGGAAAAATGTATATGTGATAGTCGAAGCTGGCATGTAAATTTATTAAATGCTTTCTGCACATGAAGTCGAATGCTTTATCTTTCCAATAAAAACTAAGCCACTTCAAGAGCCATCCTATTTCATATCGTCCTCGACTGCTGTTGCAAAACACAAAGATGTTGCAGGATTTTCTTGACAGCCACACCGGATGTGATAAAGGGAAGATAAAGAGAACAGGTTAGAATCTACGAGGAAACTTTTAACCTTTGACTGGGCCTTGTCCACCCAATTCTTCATGGCTCCTCTGCCCACCTGACAGTATTGACCTGCAACAGTAGGATCTATGCTTTGGTGTAATTTCACAAGGAGTAGGAGTGGTTTCTGAGAAGCCATTTCGTTTCTCCCCTAGCCTATCTTTCAGATAAATAGCACCCTTTGTGGCTAGTGGGGTCAGGTTTTTATCTGTGGCTTCAGAAGCTGCTTTTTTTATTTCTCTGTTAAAAATTGGATCCTTGTTACCAGAATAGAACTGAGAGTTGGTCCTGTTGAGCTAGGGGATTGCATTGAAGTGTTTTCATGAACATGATGCTATGACCAAACTATGGTTTCAATTAGAGTTAAATTTTTATACCATATTTATTAATATGTATCTTCTTTACAGTAGCTCAGGTGGAAAAGTGAGATACAGAAGAAGGTACCTTATATAAAGTTTGTTCACAGTATATGAACAAGCCTGCTCGTTCAATAAATATTTTCCTTTTAGAAAGAAAGGTATCTTACTGCTTTGCTTTTATCCCCAGAGAATCATTGAGGAAATCTATTTATTCTTTTGTGGTTTTATTCACTTGTCTTTTTAAAAATATGTTCTTAATTATTTATTTAGTTATTGCAATGTTGGGTTTGGTCTGTGTTGGTTTTTAAATTAACATTATCTTACCTTTACATAAGTTTTATTTTAAAAAAAGTATTATCTTGAAGTAGTTGTACGAAGTCACCATTTAACAAAGCAGTTTATGAACATAGTGCATCTTGATCTATGTCAGCAGAGCATATGGAAATAACAGTAACAATAACAATAATAATAAATAATAACACCAACATCACAGGCTCTTGTAACACTTTGGATTGTTCCAATCTAGTTTCATTTTTCCTATTTGATAATTAGTCTAAATGGTACATATTAGTCTGTCAGTTGAAATAATATACTAGAAAAATGTGGCTTCTTAATTGTCCATTTAAGCCTGAATGAAAAGTGTACATATCATTAAAAAGTCATGTGTCAGTTGTTTCTCATAATCTTCAGAAGCATGGAACTTTGATGCACTTACATATAATCTGCGTAATCAGTAAATGTGAATGTATGCGTGTATGCCCTTAAAAACGATATGTGAAAGGAGATCTTTTCAACATTCTCTTAAATGGGCCCATGCTTGAAAATAGTGGGACCTTTTCTTTATAAAGTGTTGCATGTGCTTGATGAATGACTTGCCAGGTGCTGGCAGTCTGCTACAGTTTGCTTACTTGTTTATTTATTTGTTTGTTTATTCCTCATGTGCTTTTCTTTTCCTTCTTGTTCAGAGAATTTGGATGGAGAGACCCGGAACTGCCCGAAGTGATCCAGATGTTGCAACATCAGTTTCCGTCTGTCCAGTCCAATGCTGCAGCCTATCTACAGCACCTCTGTTTTGGAGACAACAAAATTAAAGCTGAGGTAAGTGTTACTCAGATTATCAAATGAATGGTGTTGGTTTATAACCACTTGTAGGGTTGTTGCTATTTTTAGAGGAGTGTTGAAAAGCAAAAGATTTAGGGAAACTTAAATCACAGTGTTAACACTTAGTTCTGTATTGGAGACTGAAGCACAGTACATTTATCTCATTAATCATCATGCTTGCACATGCACCCTTCCAAGACCAGAGATGTGTTCTAGGATCAGTGCTTTGCTGTCATTTGTCTTTCTCTACCCTATTTCACTCCTGCTCCTAAATATTAAAAACAATGCAAAGCATCAGTTGTTATCTTCTCCAGTTTTGGTCAGTGTTTATGAGGGCTTATCTTTTCTTGGAGAACTCACTGCTAAGATGGGAATATTAGACAGTTACTAGCTTTGCCTTCAAACAAAGCCTAGTGAGTAATTTACAAAAGTGGTTGTGGATATGATGTGCATATGTGTGATCCATTCATGTGACCATTATTTATGTTTGTCGCATAAAGAAATTTTAACATGTTCTGCTATTGGAAAAGTACCTAATGCACTGTGATGTCTGATATGGCTGACAAATCACTGTGGTCAGTAAAGCTAGCTCAGGATTTGTTCATGTAAGGGCCGAGCATTCGCATGCAAGCAGCAGAGTTATCACATTTTTAAAGAAGATTTTATAAACTCTGACGAGTCATCTCCATAGCATATGGCTATTTTGAGGATAAGTCTAAATTAAGAGTAGAAAGAAGAGATTGAGAGCTCTAATTGCAATTTATTATAGCTTTTGCTTGCTTGCATTGGGCTGAGTTTAGCCTAGCAACTTTTCATCTTTTCTGTTTAAAAAAAAAAAGATGGCCGGGCGCCAGTGGCTCACGCCTGTAATCCTAGCTACTCAGGAGGCTGAGATCTGAGGATCATGGTTCAATGTCAGCCGGGGCAAGGAAAGTCTGTGAGACTCCTATCTCCAATAAAACACTAGAAAACCAGAAGTGGCGCTGTGGCTCAAGCAGTAGAGCACTCGCTTTGAGCTGAAGAGCTGAGGGACAGCGCCCAGGCCCAGAGTTCAAGCCCCACGAAAGAAAAAAGAGATGTATTTCATACACTGGAACTACAAAGATTTTCCTTTCTACCTGTTCTCAGAAAAGTCATATTTCTTTGTGGAAAAAATAGAGATCTGTGGTTTTCAGCCAGGCATGCTTTTTGTCCCTAAGTCACATTTGAGGCATGAGAATGTTTTAGTTTGTCGCAATCAGAGGGACTTATGGTGAGGGCATTGGTATCGAGCAAATAGAAGTCAGGAGTGTTGCCCATGATATGGACAGGGCAGCCCTAAAACCTGGAACTATTCCCCTTCAAATGCCAATAGTGCTGAATTTGGATAAAGGAAAACATCAGCCAGTGAGAGTGATGTTCAGACAGACAGACAGACAGATAGACTATAGACATATATAAAGACTATATGCATATCTGTCTATCTATAGCTGCATCTATCTATAAACAGATTGTTAAAATGAGCTAAAAAGACATGGAATGACAGTAAGTGACTTATTTCCTAAATGGAAGCCATCATACAATTTCTTCATTTTTAATGGAAATCAAATGACCATGTAAAATAGAGAACTGATTCCTGATGCAGGTGTCTTTTGCCAATATATAATGTCTTAATGACAGATTTGAGAGTTTCTCCAAGGACCATGACAGCATTTCATTCCACTCTTGGTATAAGCTGACCTTGGTCCCCTCAGCCCCCAAAGTGAAATATGATCTCCCCCCAAACGTGGTGTGGTATTGGAGTGGCTGGTATATGTCACCCTCCTGGAGGGTGGGAAGAGGCAGGGGCAAACACGGCTAAGCCTGCAGGAAGGACTGGAGTCGCTCCCAGACAGCCCAAAAATCACTCCACGGGGAATTCTAGCTTAGGATTTTGTGAGGTAGCAGGTTCTTACCTACACACTGAACTTCGGACAGGTGGCTCAGAGGAGGGGAAGAAAGAGCAAAAGGAGGTGACACCCATTCAATGGTCAGAAATCAGATATCAGAGAAATGGAACCAGGCTTTATTTTGGAGAGGCACGTAGTCAGGCTGTATAGGCAGCACAGCCAGAGGAAGTCTGAAAGCACTTGTCTAACTAGCTGTACCTGTGCTCCATACTCCGGCCTTCAGGCCATTCAGTCACCAGGCTGGCTAAGAGCTTGCGGCGTGGTACCAATCACTCTCTGCTCTCTGTTCTCTGCTGGACAGACACTGCACAGGAAATGGACGGTGGTGATCACCACATGCATTATGCAGCCAGGCCACTTCCAGTGCTGCACCCCGGCCTGTGTTCTGGACCTAGCCTGTTGTCTGTCAGAGCCTCTGTTCTTATCTTTAAAACAGATATGCTGATAGAGTCCCTACAGCTAATGCACGCAGACTGTGTAATGGTAGAATATTGACTCATTGACAGTCTTTCTAGACAGAAACTCAGTTGAGACGCTTAAGTTACCGTTTTATGAATAGATAGATGCGTCACTGTGTATGCATACATGTGTGTCGTGTGCCTATATGTCCGTGTGAGAGGGAGAGCTTGTTTTAGTTCATTTTGCTTTGCTTTGGTGCGGATGCTCTCCAGGTTGTCTGTATTGCCTTTTACTGTTTGAAGGGTCCTCAGACAGCTGGTCCTTGAGCGATCGATGGTTTCTATTATCTGTAGCACTCCCCCGTCGCCCTCCAGCGGTACCCCACGACGGACATCCCTGGGGCCTGAAGGCAGAAGTGGTATAGGACTCAAGGTGTGCCTGACACAGAGCTAAGAACAGAGGATTGAGGTCAGGTTAGCCACGTGGACACAGGAAGGGCAAAAGCTAAAATAAAGCCCAGAATCAAGAGTGCAGAGATGGCTTTGCTGTGCCCACTGAAGTCATAAATGCTTGTAAGTGCACACACACTTACAATAAGGATTTTGCACAAACCTGCTTGGTTCTCTCCTCCTAACTCAGAGAACAAACTATTAGGAATTAGTCCTCCCTTTGTGATGGATGGCTGCCTGTCATGTTTTCATACACAGGTATTGATTTTTGTAATTACCTGTTGTCCAAATACTAATCTTGCCGGTGCTAGCTTTTCCAAATTTACTCAGTCCCTAGTCTTTCTATTGCTTTTTATTGAATTGATTTAGCCCTTCAGTCTACATTTCATTATTGGTATTGACTTTGCTCACACAATGGACAGCCCATTGCACAAATGGCAGAATTAAATCTTGTATATGCAGAGAGCTATAAATCATGCCTCTTGGCAATCCTTATTACGGTGCTTGGTATAGTTTACATATAAGAAAGCCAAGAAATTCAGTGTTGTTCAAACCAGTGGTGGATCATAATGGTACAAAGTCAAGAATTCATTTCTGTGAATCAACAGGGAAAAGCCCTCTCCTTAACATTTCCCGCCAATCTAATGCACTTGGGTTTGAGGAATTTGCTGACACACTCCCTCCTAGTGAGGTGAACTTGGGAGACTCAGGAAGCCTGCTGGACTACCTCCAGGGACTAAGGTGCATTGATCATTATGCTGAGTGTCCAGGACAGGACATTTACTTATATAGTACCTAAAAATTGGAAGAGATGACAGTGGAACACACAAGTGTTCAGAGCCTGGCCAAGATGTGAGCAGAAGAAAATAGCTGAAATTAAAGAGAGGACAGGAAGCAGAAAAGATATATACAGAGAGAGAGCCTAATTTATGGCCACAAACACACTGAGTTTATGGGGCTTATTTGCATGAGCTAATGAGTATCTAGAGATATGTAAGTGGGTCATGGTTTAATGGGCAGAAGCATGAACAACGAAGACAGATGTTGGTAAATTTGAATGATGCCTGCCATCCATGCTGTCTACTAACTTGTTGAAATGTCTTTGTAAATTGAGTTGTCGTTGGAGGAAGGGGAAAACTTTCTCACAAGTGTGAACTGCAGACATGTTTTAAGCCTCCAAATTGATAGCTAGTAAGTGTTTTTCATAAATCCTCATTCTTTCTGGGAAGTCCTTCTCAGTTAAGAATGCTAAGGATGTCTCATTGATTTAGGGATAGGATAAATGCCCTTCTTGGGCTGTGAGATTTCAGGTTATTAATGCTGTTCATGACTGCATTTCTCCCCATGTCTTCTTTACACACACCCTAAAGTAGGCAATAGAACTGCACTCACATCCCCACAATAGGAACATGTATGGGCATTAGTACTGCATGCTGGCTTGACAGACATATGTCTCCTAGAGATACAAATGAAATTCTTTGTTTTCGAGTGACAAAATTTTTTTGGGGGGGTCTGGTCGTGGGGCCTGAACTCTGGGCCTGGGCGCTGTCCCTCAGCTCTTCAGCTCAAGGCTAGCGCTCTACCACTTGAGCCACAGCACCACTTCCGGCTTTTTTCATTTTTGCTTATGTGGTGCTGAGGAATCGAACCCAGGGCCTCAGGCATGCAAGGCAAGTACTCTACCACTGAGCCACCTTCCCAGCCCCAAATTTTTTACATTTTTAAATTATAAAACAGAATTATTCTATTAGTCATTAGTAGATCAGTTCAATATACAATGAGCTTGAACCTCAGGATCTGAACACTGCCCTGAGCTTTTTTAGCTTAAGGCTAGCACTTGGTCACTTGAGCCATAGTTCCACTTCTGGCTTTTTGGTGTTTTGCTGGAGATGAGACTCTCACTGACTTTCCTGCACAAGCTGGCTTCAAACCACGATCCTCAGATCTCAGCCTCTTGAGGAGCTAGGAAAGATGTTTTCATTTTAAGTGTAGGCATATTCACTTAATAATATCCTTTGAAAATATTGTTCAACATTGCCTGAAGGAAGGACTGACTCCTTGTCATTTTCGTGTCATAAATGGCAAGTGACCATCCGGGATGAAGATTTACTTTAGGGTTTTGACCTGATTTCTTCTTGTTATTTGAAAATTTCACGTTATTATCAGATATGCACCTGAAATAGCTAAAGCTGTTATATAGTAAACTTCTGCTCTAGAAAGC